AGGCCAAGCTTAAGAAAACAAACTATAGGGCCTGACGAGGCCCACGTGTATGGTGGCACTTATGCACAAATACTGCACAGCGCTGCGTGTATGTTTTAGTGTATGTTTTAGTGCGCCGGCTCAATGGCTGATCCTGCCATGGGCCATATCCTCGAAGTCTCCACCAAGTGTTATGTGTCTCCGAGCTCTGGACTGCTCTGTCTGCCCTCTCGCTTGCAATCCTTTGCATGTGTCCCCCAGCTCTGGAGTGCGGTGTCCACCTCTGCCTTGCAATCCTTACAGTGTCTCCCAGCTCTGGACTGCTGTGTCCACCTCTGCCTTGCAATCCTTTGCATGTGTCTCCCGGCTCTGGACTGCTCTGTCCGCCTCTCGCTTGCAATCCTTTGCATGTGTCTCCCAGCTCTGGGCTGCTGTGTTCGCCTCTGCCTTTCAATCCTTATAACATGTGTCCCCCAGCTCTGGACTGTCCGCCTATCAGTGCCACTAATTAAGTGAGCCATGGGCAGTGCTTGAGGGTGTGCAGGATGTGTGGTGTTATTTCACCTGAAGGGTGATGTTTCACAGTTGTTTTTCAGCAAAAAATTGACGAATAAGAGACAGTCCGCTCAGCATGAAAAACATGGATTATGAAACAACCGTATTTTTTTCATACAACATGACCATAAAGTCAAACGACCGTATTTTGGGGAAACGACCCGGAAAAATGGTTGTTTTCAAAACGACCAAAAAAAACAGTTGTTTGAGGGTGTAGGTACGCATGTGTTCGACATAACCCACCATTTCGTAGACATGAAGATATATTTCGGATGATTTTGGAGGTCAAAAGTGAGGATCGCCGCCGATCAAATCGATTTCAATCTCCCCCCGCTAATAATTCTATGAATATAGTAATTTATATAATAGATCGTAACTTAAGAGGACCCCCGCTCAAAACCTCCCTAAAATAATCTATAAATTATTTTAACCCCTATATCGATTCCGTTAAACACCAGGCACAAGTCACTGGCCGAATATTATTAATGCATTACAAAAGACAATTAAATCATACTATCTATAAATATTCCATTCAAGCATTCCCATAGGTAGGAATATAACAACATATTCGATTTCCAGAATAAGAAAATTAAATCGATTCAATATCATAAAATTCAAATTAATCCAAATACGCAAAATATCCAACTAAATCATATATTCAAATTAACAATAATTAGCAATTCATTAAAAAACATAATCTTTCAATCATTTAAAAAACAATAAATGCTTCAAACACTAAAAATATATTTAATTTAATATAATCGTATATAAAAACATCATCTAGAATATATTATTAATAAAAATAAAAATAATAACTACTATAACAATAAATATAAATTAATATCCGGCCATAATAATTAGTGCAAAATCAAAATCCATTTCGAATAATCTGTTAAAATTAAATTATTAGCTAAATTATATAACAAAAATCATTCATTTCCTAATATCCGCCGACCCCGCCGGTTGAAGGGGGCGCGCGCCAGAGGAGGCAACCGAGGGCATGCTTCGAGGCTTCTGAGGCGTTTCCATCACAGCAGGCGGATTGAAGCATTGCTGACAACTGAGGGCATTCTTCGAGGCTTCCGAGGCGTTTCCGTCACAGCAGGCGGCTTGAAGCGTTGCTAAAGGTCCGAAAGCATCAGAAAGGGCGTGCTCGACGTTGCTTCACAGACTTGTTTTACGGGTTCCGAAAGCGACGTTAGACATTCTGGGGGCGTATTGGGAGGCGCCCTTTCGGGCGATTTTTGGTCTCGAATTAGATTGTGGAAAGTCGCAGCGAAGAAAATCACTGGGAGCAGGTGTTGAGCAGCCAGAGGACCCAGGGGAGAGAACGGCTTATTGTCTACCAGGCAAGAGGTCTTGAGGGAGGTGAGAGAACGGCTTCTTCCAGGCTTCCGAGGCGTTTCCGTCACAGCAGGCGGCTTGAAGCGTTGCTGAAGGTCCGAAAGCGGAAGAAAGGGCGTGCTCGACGCGGCTGCGCAGACTTGTTTTATGGGTTCCGAAAGCGACGTTAGATATTCTGGGGGCGTACTGGGAGGCGCCCTTTACGGCGATTTTTGGTCTTGAATTAGATTGTGGAAAGCCGTGGCGAAGGAAAGCATTGGGAGCAGGTGTTGAGCAACCAGAGGACCCATGGGAGGGGAGAGAACGGCTTATTGTCTACCAGGC